TAGCTTTCTTTGTTTCCTTCCTACTAAACTGTTCAGGCTGTGTAGATTGGAAGGAGTGATTGCTTGGTCAATAAAACTGAAGAACAGCCACACCACTATGCTATACTTTGCTTTGTGTACAAAAATCACTGTTAGCAAAATAGAGGGCCAATAGAGGTGGATTGCTCCCCAATCTTCTAATTCACTATTTCTCAACCGTGGCAACTTTACATTGTGTGGACTTCAGTTCCCAGAATTCCCCAACCAGCATAAACTCCACATATCTTAAAGTTGCCATCACTGCTCTAATTCTTCAATTAAGCAGAATGATGCACTTCTAAAAGAACATCTCCCAGATTGCAAGCAGTTGGTGAACTCTTATATTAATGCTATCAGATTCTAGCCAGATTCTTTGTTATGTATTAATGTACAATTAATATATTTAAAATGCTAAAAATGCAAATCCTGGGCATCATATTAGCCTAAGTTAAAAGAAATAAAAATGAACACCAGGATAGAGTAAACCAGACTGTTTAAAGTAAACAAGCCTGTAGTTAAAAAATCACTAAGCTTTCATCGGCCATATTGCTGACCTCGTCAGAGTTGGAGTAAAAGGAGATCTGGGAGCCAGCCTATATAACGACCTGCCTCTGCGCCTGGCTTCTCAAGTATATCATTGGCCCGTTGATTGTGGTCATACGTAATGTGCTCGAGAAGTTGGGCACAGAGGCAGGTTGTTATATAGGCTGGCTCCCAGATCTCCTTTTACTCCAACTCTGACGATGTCGGCAGTATGGCCGATGAAAGCTTAGTGATTTCTTAACCACAGGCTTGTTTACATTAAACAGTCTGGTTTATTCTATCCTGGTGTTCGTTTTTCTTTCTTTTAACTTACGCTAAAGTTGCCTTTGCTAAGAAGTATATAATATTTTTTAAAGCTGCTGCTATAACATGACCCTTTTAAGAAATGCACATGTAACACAAGTTTAATGTACCCTTCTGCATATCTTTGGATCCCTTAATAATTGTGAAGTAGTTGACCAAAAGTTTCTCATCTTAATAAACAGCATAAAACCATAATATCTTTGACAAATATAAGAAAAAGAAATATGGGAAGTATATGCTTGAAAATTCACTTAATATGCTCGAACAGATAAAAACCTTTCTACCTTGAAAGAATGCTTATTTGTTTGAAAGGCTTCCAATATATAACATTCTTCCTTAGCTGCATGAGATCAAACTTGTGAGAGATTTGCTAAGATCCTCCTTGTATTGAACAGGCAGCTTATCAATCAGAAATAGAGGATTATTTTATATTTCTGGTTCATGTTTCAGAAACTGTATTAGATATCAGTAAATATTAATCTTACAAATCATTAGAAAAGTTTGCCCGTGGAAACGTTTCTGGTTTAGTTTAATAGTTCAGATAGATTCATTTTCTCATTTCTCATATGATTAATGAACCAATTAAAATGAACATGCCAGTATTATTAGGTTGGAAGTATTTGAAGCTATTTAATGATGAGAATAGTTTTTCTCAATTCAGAAATTCATGGTTTGAAGAGTTATTCCAAATACAAATGATTGAAGCTATTATATTATTATCAATTGAGTTATCATTCTTCCACTTCAGCCTCATCCTGACATACTTCTTGTTGAGCCTTGAAGACATGGTTGTTTCTGAGGGACATATTATCTCATCTCATCTCATCCCCAATCAGCTTTAAGTGTCCTAGTATCACAGTGATATTTTCCAATTTTTTTTCATGCAGATAACTCAAGGTGTCTTTGAGACTAGTCAATAAACAACATTAGCAGGGTTAGCTGTTTCTTTCATTCCCACTTTCCTATCACCTCTGCTGTGGGAATGTCTCCCTTCTCCAGTTGCTGGGAACTGCCAGGTTGTATTCTTTTTTCTGGGCTGCTGTGAGCACCTGGTAAATCCTTTTTTTGTGTGTGGGGGAAATACACCAATCTAAGAGGATATTAATTTTAATACATCTTGATCTTGATCAATCTTATCTCAAATTAAGTTAAACAAAATGCTAAGTTTCATATTTAAACAGATTTACATAGAAATTCTTTTCTTTTTTTTAAAAAAAAAAAGTTTTATTAATTTTCCAGTTTTACATCCAAATAATTAGGAAGCAACATGGTGATTGGGTAGTCAAAAGTCCAATAACAAAATCTTTTGTACAGATCTCGGGTTACATCATCAAAATTTCCCTCTCCATTTCCCTTAATTACTATATCACAATCAAATTAATACATTTCTAATTATACCACGATCAATTAAAACATTTATCAATATATTTTTACTTATACTTATCATGTCCTGTTTTTGAATTTCAATTACAGTGCTCCAATTTAGCCTTTAAGATCCATAATATTTAGCTTGCCATTAACCCAAATTTCCCCTATTTCATTACATAGTAGTTATTATATCTAAAATGCATATATTGCTTAGTTAAATACATTCTTATCTTATTTCACAAATATATTCTATTTCTCATCCTAGTACCTCATCACTTACTAACACATAATATCCTTTATGTCTCAATCCAACTTCCATATTATAATTCAAAACTATATTCTAATAGATCTAAATCCTAAATATTAAATCAATTAATATCTTTTAAAGTCTCCCCTTAGTCCATTAGGTAAAGTTTTAGGCTCTTCCATTGTAAATCAAAGAAGACCCATCTAACTCTAGCTTTCTTTTTGTGCCAAGCAGGCTTCCATACCAGTGCCTTTAAATCCTCAAGTGGCTCTCCCTTCATTCCTACACATATTATTTGAGTCAAGGGAGACCATCCAGTTGACAATTTTTCAAAGGAGCTGGCCCCTTTGTCATCATTAAAATGTTGCTCAAATAGGCTTCCAGTTCGTGGCAGTGCGGTCAGGCAAAGGGAGTTGTCCCTTTGCTGACTGAGTTTCCCCTGCCAGTAGACCCCTGAGAGGGTCGAAAAGATGTTCTGGAGGAGTGTCTACCACTGAGGAGGCTTCTCGGATAGTTGCAGAAGAGCGGCGGCGTCCTCTGTGCACCGAGTATCTCCTTTGGGCTGACAGGGTAAAGATCGGCCAGTAAAATGGCTGATCATTTAGCTGCGCCAAGCACAAGCCACAAGATCAGCTAAGCAAATGGACCCACCACGGAGAACTCAGTGAGACTTTCCTTTTACCTCTATTTTCTGTATGGCTGTGAAAAGTTTTTTTTTTTTTTCTTGGAATTATTCCCTTTTCTGGTGAAGTGGCTTTTTAAATGGGGGAAGAGAAGCTCAAAGGATTAAATTTATTTTTGTTTTAATGGTTAATTTTATTTTTGGATATTGGGAGCCTCAAGAAAGTTTTTTTATATATATAATATTTTGAGAATATTTTTTTCTACCTTTATGGTGTCTGAAAGGATTGAATATCTGACTAATCTACATTATTTTCTGGGGGACATTTTCTGATGAACTTATTCATTGTACTTGCTATCTTTTCTTCACCAGAAAGGCTGTCATTTTGTACAAAGGAAAATGACAAGGAAGCTGGGAGGAGATGGATATTGTGCTTGTCTTTTAAATATAGTCTCCTTCAAAAGGATAAGGATTTTAAACATAATAAAAATGGAGGAAACCAGTGTAGATCTTACTTATAAGTATATTCTGAACAACATTTTGGAAAATACGGAGAAGATAATTGCTTGTTCAAAGGAGACTTCTTTGTATAGACAAGCCATAATACAAGGATTAAGTGAAACATCAGTTTATGCTCAAGAGACTTCTGCTCAGCTTACTGAGTTGGAAGAAGTAAACCCACAATGGACTATCAATTGACATTGGAAAAAAGACTTGATACTAATGGACAAAGGACTTATGATAAGGAACTGGAGTATCTCACTTCAGAAGGACAAGTTGGCTGCAGACACCATTTGACTTTGAGATAGAGAAAAAAACATGGGAAGAAAAAAACCCGATCAAAGAGGACGATATAAAAGAAAGGATTTTAAGTGAAATTTATTCAACGTTAAAAGAAAGGGGAAATGATATTTTGCTACGAGTTACCCAGATTAGTTATAACCTTCATACTAATTTAACAAAATGCACAATGGGAGTTTTCTTTTTGGAGTGTATAGTATGGCAGGCGGAGACCAGATTAGGGAAAACTGTTTGGAATAGAAAGAAACCCAGAATAAGATATAAATATTAAATTTGATTCTAGCAAGGTGGTAAAGGTTTTACAGTGACCTGGATTGATTTGGATTTGGACTTTGTTAAAAGGGCTTTATATGTTTTTAATATTAGAGATGGTATAATGAGAAAAGGACAGAAATATGGGAAAAGATGGAACTAATTATTGGAGATTTGAAGAAACAGTGAAAAACAATAGAATATTGGTGTCAAGCCCCTGGCCTTGACACGAACCTGTGGGGGACAGGGAAGGAGCAGCCGGTGGCCAGCCACCAGCTGTGTGCCAACCCCATGTGCCGCCCGATGCCCGAGGACCAGCTGGGTGTTGGCGAGGCCGCCATGCACCGCAGCCGCCTCCCTCCATGTAACCAGGTGCCGAGGGAGTCCTGAAAGCTGGCTGGGCGTCAGAGGCAAGCCAGCCGGTTGCCAGAGGGACCGCCTCTCACTGTGGCCACCTCTCTCTCTCACTGAGCACCAGGGGGAATTCCTAGAAGCCAGCTGGGCAGCGGAGGTGACCAACTGGATGTCGGGGGGGCGTATTTCACTGCTGCCACCTATCCTGTGTTGCCAGCGGTCGGGGGAGGGTGCTGGTTGCTGTGTGGAGCTACTTCCCAGTAGAGGAGCATGGAGCTATCTGCTTTAGAGCCACACTGGTGGGGGGGAGGAGCAGGACATTGACTGACTGCTGGATAGGACAGCTGGTTCTGCGGAGGCTGCGCTGATGCATCCGGGGGGGGGAAGTCAGAACTTGAGCTACAGCTTTTATCTACACAGACCAGATGCTGGCTTGCTGATTGGGGTGGGGTTGGAGGGTGGGGCACATCTATGTAAGACACTGGGAGCAATCCGCTCCCAGTGCTGACTGTTTCTTTTGAATGCATTAAAGTCTTGCTGGCACTTTGTTCTTGTGTTTTTGGAGTTTGTTGGCAGCAGACAGAGGACAACTGACAATTGGTGAAAAAGAGAATAATTTATTTTTGGAGTTAATAATGTTTAAATAAGAAAACACTTGGGGCACCTGAATAGTAAATGAATATGTTAGTTTAAGACTAAATATTTGCAAAATTAAGAAAGCATGATACAGGATCTTTAGGATGGATAATGAGTTTTTGTAAATTTTTATTGGTTAATAAAATTTATATAGAGTGATATATTCAATGAATACTTGCTTTAGAAATGTTTTAATGAGCTTATAACAATATAAATAGATAGAGAATGTTATTTTATTTTTAATTATATAACCTGGATGAAATGATATATTAGTGAATGAATTGGTTTTAGAAAGATATGGATTTGATTATATTTTTTTAAATAAATGGAGAGTTCTTTAAGTTTAAGTTTAAATGTGTGAAACAATATAGGTTTCTATAGAATTGAAAACTTTTTATTGATTAATGCAGTTGATGGTTAGACATAGTAATGAATGAATTTATCTGAAAATGTATTAATTTGACTATAATATTTTATATAGATAGAGAGAGAATTTTAAGAAATATTGTGTATATATTTATTATGTTATTGTTTGTTTTTTTTTAAAAATTGATCACCATGTTTCCATGTGGGTTCTTAAGCTGTGTTGGTGTAAAGTGGAAAACTAATAAAAATTGTTTTGAAAAAAAAATGTTGCTCAAATAGGTCAAATCTCCATGTTTGGTTCAGTATATTTGCTATTTTTAATAAGAGTCAAAAATGTCCACCTCCACTATTTCTAGAAGTTGTTTTCACAGCGGTTTCAAGTTCTTATCTTTTTAATAGTGTCAAGGACAAATCTTAAGCTGTAACCAGGTCTCACAGTGAAAGAAAAATTTCCTTGCTATACCAGAGTTCACCACAAGATGTCCTCAATTACATATACAATCTTCTTCCAGACTCAAACTAGGCTTTTATCCAGTTTAATTTTTTCCCTTTTTTTCTTTTTTTCCAGCTTAACAAATAGACAGGGTAATAGGTCCCCGTAGAAGTAGGAAGTCTTTGGGACCCCAAATATTCAAAAGATGCAAGTCCAATTGTTTAGTTATTTAGTTTAGTTATACTTTTCTTTTTTTTTCAAAGCTTTAACTCCCCAGGTAGGCAAACGCCACCATTCCAAAAGAGGGGGGAAAGAAATTTTCAAAACACTCTCACAGGAAGGTAGTTGGGGAAATAAGAAAGGTAAGGTCTCATCCAAATCCTTCACATTGCTTTTGTTGTGCTTGGTAGTAATGTTGGCTTTCAGCTGGAAACAGCTTAGTGATTGGCCATGTTGATGGCGGATCTTTTCTTTGTCGGTCCAAAGGAGCTGCTCCAGATCAAATGGAGGGGATGCTGCCCCTCCACGATCAGTCAAAGGGCCTCCTCATGCTTGTCGCCCCTCCAGAGCAACTTTTGACCCTTTTCAGGGTCTCCCAATGGAGAAAAACCAGACGGCGAAAAGAGAGCTTTCATTGCACGTCTGCCAGCACCACAAGCACAAACAGGAAGCCAGAGAAATGCACCAATCTAAGAGGATATTCATTTTAATAAATTTTGATCAATCTTATCTCAAATTAAGTTAAACAAAATGCTAAGTTTTATATTTAAACAGATTTACATAGAAATTCCTTTCTGGTCTGCTTTGTAGGAGAGTATATGGGTTAGGTTGTATCTTCATGACATGTTTTTATCCAAAATACTTTTCATCTGAAATATGTAAGCAGTATAACATTAAATATGTAAGCAGTATAACATTAAATTTAAGACCTTTTGAATCTAGAGAATTTCAAATATCCTTTGATGTGGGAATGTTGATAACCCAGTCTTCCATATTTTTCAGATCAAGAAATGGATAATCCCATGGCTCAGTCTTTAGAAGTTCAAGGAGGTTATGTGCTCCCCCTGAAGAGGCTAGCCTTGGACCCAATAATTACCATCCCGTCTTCTTTTGCAGGAAAAGTTGGTGATTTCAATATTTTTACTAAAGTGATATGCAATTTAGATGCAAAGAGAAGCACAATATAGGAGAAAGTTTTAAAAACTACTAATGCAGGAATATATATATATATAAAGAACTTCACAATAAAGTGGCATTATATAGAGAATTGCATATATATATATATATATAAATAGAATGTTTAGACAGCTATGCACATTTACATCTTTCAAAAACAAATAGCATGGTTATTGTTTCTTTATCCTAGTATGCCCTATGCTCCTTGCGATTTTCCTTTGAGAAAAGTCATTTTAAAGGTCAGACAGTACTCTAATCAATCCACAAAACCATTCTAAATTACCATTTTACAATTGGAACACTTTGTAGGCTAGCCTTTCAACCTGAACTCAGCCAGGAATATTTTTCCTTTACTCTCATTCTACCCTTCCCCCTCCCCTCCAGCTTTTTATTTAAACAATAGAAGTATTGCTGAAACTATCCTAAGCCAAGGTAAGAAATTTGTTTAGAGATACAAGCCCAATTCAGAACTGAAGGGATCTACAACAGGGGTGTCAAAGCTTTTGAAAAACTATGAAAGGTGTAAGGATCCACCCCACTTTGCATCTTAAGAAGACAGAACTCTTGGAATAGTTCTTCCAACAGGCATCCTTTATTAAGAGGCGTTCTAGACAGGACTTGGGGTCCAAGCTCTCCCATTCAAGGTTTTAAGGGGTTCCCCAGTAGCCCCACCCAATCACCCCCTTCTTCCAGCAACAGTCTCAGGCATTACATTCCCACCCCTTTCTCCTTATTGCCGGCTGGAGGGAGACTTCAGAGAGAATTACATGAAAGGTAATAGCCCCATTGTTATGGTTAGTCCTTTTGGTGATATCCACATCCAGTCCCTTTGAAGTGTACTGAAGGAAGTGAGGGCCATAAAGCCCCTTTGTTCACCTCCTTCCCTTCATCATATGACAGAATCTAGAGAAGGTAGAAATGGGGTTTTCTATAGTTGATAACTAGAGATGAAATATAATTGGATTCTGACAAAAGGCCTATTTCAGCATTGACACTCATCTTGAATTCTGGTCCGTCTATGATGGGAATAGAAGAAGGAAAAAGCATTTCCTTTTTTTTCCCCTCCTAATTTCTTCTCTGTTTCTTATTATGTTTATTAACAATGATTTTTGACTGTGAGAGACCATGGGAGAAGCATTATCACAAAGGCTGTTAGAAAGTATGGAAGTATGGTGATGGACAGATTATTTCCTCTAATTTTGTACTACCTGTCTTGTGCCTTCAACAATGCTCCTGCTACTTTGGGGAAATGACGAGAACAAATTTGAAAGTGAAATTAGGACAACCATTTTTTTGCTTTCAGAGAGAGAGAGAGAGAGAGAGAGAGAGAGAGAGAGAATCATTGTGAAGATCCCTGTTCTGATTGTTGATCACCAAGTTTATCATAACAGTAGATAATGTAGCGATTCAAAATGAAGTCTGGGAAATCTTTCAGGTTATTAAAGTCCCTTTGTGTCAAATTTTTGCAGTAATGTGAAATGCAAGTAGGTTAGAACTATGCTGAATTGGTGGAAGTTGATTAATTGAAAAGCTCTTTCAAAGGCAAAAAAAAAAAAAATTCTCAGGCCAGCAATTTTATATTCTTGTTATTTAGGACTGTCTTGTATGTATGGTGCTCAGCTGAATGAGCTTCTTCCAGGGAAATATTAAACGTGTTTCGGAAAGATAATGCCTATGGCATGTTCACATTGGCTATCGGCCAAGGATTCAAACATTAATAATCTTTGGGGTATACAGCAGTTCCTGTGACCAGAATATTAATCTTCCCTTGTACAGTAGAAAACCTAATAATTTTTCTACTTCAGATAAGGATACATAGCTAACATATTTGTATGTTACCTATCATTGGAACACTTTGTCGATATACAGTACTCTGAACAAGTCTGCCTCAAAAACGCTCTATTATTTATAATAAAAATTAATATATACATTTTTACACTTTTAAATCAAATAGCTCTAAAAATGATGGCCAGCTAGTAAAACATGTATTTCCGGCTCCAGTCCTCAAACATCAGGAATCTCAGTTAAATTCTGAGAAATCACATATTTAACAAAATTGAAATGATTAAAAGAATTGTCTAATATACAGTATGTAGTGAAACTAAAAATAGCCTCTCAGATGAGAAATGGATTTGCAAATATATAGAAAAATCAGAAGTATACAAACATTATGGAATTCTTCACTTTTCATAATTCTGTTTTGCAGAACTTTAAAGTTTAAAATACACTTTAGAAAAGAGATGCTACAGAAAAGTACAGGTAGAAAATATAAAAAAATAGTTGCAAAAACAATGTACAATACAATTTTAGCATGTGTGTGTATGTGTGTGTGTGTGTGTGTGTGTGTGTATTTCTTTGTGCTACGTTAGTCATAAAATTCTTAAGAAATCATTGAATCCAAGCCTGTATATTTCAGTCTCATTTTTTCTAGAGGAATTCTGGAACATATTTTCTGAATTCAAAACAACTAAAATATCCAGAATGGTCCAACCTGGCATTGGTAATTGGGATTAATTTTTTTTTTTTTTTTACCCTGGTAATTGGGATCTTTTTTTTTTAAACTCTAATTATTTTTAACTATTTTTTTTGTCATTCAAAAAAACAACCACTATGTTATTTTTTGGTTATTAGCAGTTTTGATGTTATTTGTTGCCTTACCACTATCCATTATTGCACTTTTAGTCACTCCATCTTAGTGTCCTTGTTTCAACTTATTGAATGAAACCCAGTATAATGTTTGGGAGCAGGTCTGGGGGATGTCTGTGGTTTTGTAATTTTTCAGTTTATTACTGAAAGTGCTGTTGAAAGAAAAAAAATCTTTTTTTTAGAAATGTTTTATTGATTGAATCTGTCTCTGGCCTTCTTCTTTTACCAAATAGCTTTCCAAATTGACTTCTGCTTGCCTGGAAGGTCTTGTATTTTTGTAAATGTTGTTTATTTATTTATTAGTAAAATTTATATGCTGCCCAATCATTAGGGACTCAGGGCAGCATACAAAATTAAAACAACAAGTATAACAGTTAAAAATGAATACATTCACACAGCATGTCCCAATCGAATCCCCCCCCCCCCGGGGACATCAACCCCAGGCCTGCCGGAACAGGAGAGTTTTAATAGCTTTCTTGAAGGCCGGAAGGTGGGAGTAGTTCGAATCTCGGGGGGAAGTTGATTCCACCATGTCGGAGCCACCACAGAAAAGGCCCTTCCCCGAGGGTCCGCCAGCCAACATTGTCTGGCTGACGGGACCTGAAGGGACCTGGAGGAGACAGAATGCGTAAAATATGTGCTTTTTGTCTCCCAAACTCTAATGGTTCTTCTGGCAGTTCTATCATCCTTTTTGTTAAGTCTTCTGAAAGAAAAATCTTCATCAGGGTCCAGTCCAAGCCAGGAATAAACAAAATGGAGACTGCTTTAGAAAGAAGGCTGTAGTTTATTGAAGAGCAGAACCACAAGACATGTGGCTCTGGAGCAGCTGCCTATATATTGCTGGGAGTGATGGATTTTTATACCTTCTTGGGCTTTTGTGTTTGGAGTTATTCTTCTTGTTCCTTTGGCATGAAATTTGACCTGAAGTTCAGTATGCCCTTTTTGTATTCTGATGGCGGTGGGTTAATCCTATTATGTCCTAAAGGTCATGTCCTGCTTCCCTGGGGCTGGGGCTGATGGCTATGTCTTATATTTGATGAGTGAGGGGTTGCTGGTTTTAATCCTATCACTCTGCTAATTTTAGCTATTAGTTTTGTTGCAAGAATTTCAAAATATTTTGTCGTGAATGGGCTTCAGCCTGCTAGTATTTGCTCATGAATGGGGCCTCAGTCTTTCATAACAGGATTATCAAATCTGCATTTCTACAGACCTGGCCTTTGCCTAGTTTCTACTTGGGGATATTAAGAGAAACTGGGCCTGTTTTTTGCCTTTAAGATCATTATATGTTTAAGCCTCCAGTCCCCTAATCATCTTTGTTGCTCTTCTATGTATTCTTTCCCCAAAATATTTTCTTCTCTATTATTCAATAGTGAATATGTTATGTAATAAATAATGTCAATGCACTAATAATCAAGAAAGAACTCAGTGCTACATGCTCCAGTTTTCCCATGCCACCAGAATTACATTTTGTAACCATCTCTGACGAGGAATAAAGAATGTCAAATGTGCCTCACCTTAAAATAACCATGCAATAGATTCCTTCAACAGCTCTTCCCCAGATAATAATAATAATAATAATAATAATAATAATAATAATAATAATAATAATAATAATAATAATAATAGTAAAGCTGGAAGGAACCTTGGAGGTCATCTAGTCCAACCCCCTGCTCAGGCAGGAAACCCTATACCATTTCGGACAAATGGCTGTCCAGTCTCTTCTTAAAAACCTCCAGTGTTGGAGCATTCACCGCTTCTAGAGGCAGGTTGTTCCACTGGTTAATTGTTCTAACTGTCAGGAAGTTTCTCCTTAGTTCTAGGTTGTTTCTCTCCTTGATTAGTTTCCACCCATTGCTTCTTGTCCTGCCTTCAGGCGCCTTGGAAAATAGCTTGACACCCTCTTCTTTGTGGCAGCCCCTGAGATATTGGATCACTGCTATCATTTCCCCCCTCATCCTTCTCTTCATTAAACTAGACATACCCAATTTCAGCAGCTGTTCCTTATATGCTTTAGCCTCCAGTCCCCTAATCATCTTTTTTGCTCTTCTCTGTATTCTTTCTAGAGTCTCAACATCTTTTTTACATCGCAGTAATCAAACTGGATGCAGTATTCCAAGTGTGGCCTTACCAAGGCATTGTAAAGTGGTATTAATACTTCACATGATCTTGATTCTATCCCTCTGTTAACGCAACCTAGCACTGTGTTGGCCTTTTTGGCAGCTGCAGCATACTGCTGGCTCATATTTAGGTGATTGTCCACTAGGACTCTGAGGTTCCTCTCACAGTTACTACTATTAAG